GAATCTATCCTTGCAACAAAGCCCGTTGCCAACTCTGTCCATATATCTATTCAGGAGACACCATCATAGGACCTAATCACATCAGCCACTCTATCAGGGGCTCGTTCACCTGCACATCTACCAATGTGATATATGCCATCATGTGCCAGCAATGATCCTCTTCTATGTACCTTGGCCAAGCCGGACAGTCTCTACGTAAAAAAATAAATGGACACAAATCAGACGTCAAGAATTATAACATTCAAAAACCAGTTGGAGAACACTTCAATCTCCCTGGTCCCTCGATTACAGACCTAAAAGTCGCAATATTACAACAAAAAAACTTCAAAAACAGACTCCAACGAGAGACTGCTGAATTGGAATTAATTTGCAAATTGGACACCATTAAATTAGGCTTGAACAAAGACTGGGAGTGGATGGGCCATTACACAAAGTAAAATTATTTCCCCATGCGTATTTCCCCCCACCACACACACACAGTTCCTCATATCTCCTTGTCAATTGCTGGAAATGGGCCATTTTCATTACCACTACAAACAGTTTTTTTTCCTCTCCTGCTGATAAAAGTTCACTTTAACTGATCACTCTCCTTATAGTGTGTATAGTAACACACACACACAGAGAACATGAAACAGTGTGTGTGTGTGTATCTATCTATCTATCTATCTCTCTTCCTACTGTATTTTCCACTACATGCATCGATGAAGTGGGCTGTAGCCCATGAAAGTTTATGCTCAAATAAATTTGTTAGTCTCTAAGGTGCCACAAGTACTCCTGTTCTTTTTGTCTTCCGACAGTGGCCAATGCCAGGTGCCCCAGAGGGAATGAACAGAGCAGGTGGTCATCAAGTGATCCATCCCGTCATCCATTCCCAGCTTCCGGCAAACAGGCTAGGGACACCATCCCTTCCCATCCTGGCTAATAGCCATTGATGGGCCTATCCTCTATGAATTTATCTAGTTTTTTTTAACCCTGTTATAGATGGAGAAGTTCCATTACACTACTTAGTCCACTTTCCCTGCTGCCAGTGCAGATTGCCCCCACTGCTCTTATGATCTCAAGTGCTTTTCCCAGTACAGTTTTAGACTGATTTTTTCCAAATAGGACCCAAGGGATTTAGACACCTCGCTCCAATTGGAATGGGATGCCTCCCTACCCCTTGTGCCTTTGAAAATCTCCCCCTTAAATAATAACTCGTAATAGATTTTATATAAAGCTTTTTGTCCCTAGATATCAAAGCCCGTTACAAAGGGGCATGAGGACGTTGCATCCCTTATTTTACAGGTGGGCTTTTTTTAGATGTGTCCATGGTCACTCACTGGGACCGGTGGGACTAGATCGTCCAGTCTGGCCTATCCGCTGGGCCGTGATGCTGCCTCAATAGCTCAAGCAATGGCGCTTCCTCTGTATTCAACCTTACCTTGTCCCGACTGCCTCCCCTCCCCACTAACATAATTGTAAGTGGTCAAAATCTGATATGGGCGAATCCTCCCCAACCCATTTTGAAATGGGCTCTTGTCTTCATTATGTAGCTAATGTAAATGATTCTGAACACTGGCTTGACATCAGGAGGCCATTTCAGGAAGTGCTCCATAAATAAACCCTATACCAGGGGTAGGCAACCTATGGCACGCGTGTCAAAGGCGGCACGTGAGCTGATTTTCAGTGGCACTCACACTCGGGCGTAGCCAGGTGTAGCGAACAGGGAGAGCGATCACAAAAAAAGGCGCCACCCGCTGCGGCGCTTTTACTGACGGGGCGGCGCTCCGGGTCTTCGGCAGCAGTTCGGCGGCGGTTCCTTTGGTGCCGCCGAACACACCCAGAGCAAGTGAGGGACCCATCGCCGAAGTGCTGCCGAAGACCCAGAGCGCTGCCCCATCAGTAAAAGCACCGCCTGTGCTCGGCGGGAGAGCGGCCGCTGACCCACTTCCCCTTTAGCTACGCTACTGCTCACACTGCCCAGGTCCTGGCCACCGGTCTGGGGGGATCTGCATTTTAATTTAATTTTAAATGAAGCTTCTTAAACATTTTAAAAACCTTATTTACTTTACATACAACAATAGTTTAGTGTTATATTATAGACTTCTAGAAAGAGACCTTCTAAAAACGTTAAAATGTATGACTGGCACGCGAAACCTTAAATTAGAGTGAATAAATGAAGACTCAGCACACCACTTCTGATAGGTTGTCGACCCCTGCCCTATCCTGACTGACTTAAGGGCTGAAAATTCCCTTGGCAAAGCTGTGTTGGAGCATTTGCTGCAAGAAACACTAGGCCAAAGAATCTCGGCCTCTCCTCAGGAAATCTCAATGGGAAAGAAATGAGGTTTTCTCTCTGGAAATGCAGTTCTATTGCCTGTATCTACAAGTAAACCTGCTCCTTGGCAATGCATCCATCTTCAAGGTTAAGAGTAGGGAGGCTTTTATAAGATGGACTTGGAAAAGAGAGTCTAGATTTCAAATCCGGCCTTTGGAGACACAGCAAAACTCTAATACTCCCTGCCAGGACAGTATGAAGCTGTGCAGTGTTTCGGGAGACTCTACCAGATCCTAACAGGGAGGAGGGGGCCTTGTGGTGCAAATGGGTTTTCCAGATTTGTGCTGAGGGAGCCACACAAATATATAGTCTTGCAATCACCTTCTACTTTGCCATCAGGATCCTGTGCGCTTGCATTGAGGTGCACAGGCAAAAGGCCTTAACGCCCTATGAGCTGGGATTTTCAAAGGGGCCTACTTCAGCTATTTGAATAGTGTTAGCCCTATTTTAAAGGGGGGTAAACTGAGGCAGAGAGAAGCTAAGCAATTTGGAGCAGGGACTGTGTTTTGTTCTGTAGTCGTATAGCACCTAGCATAATGGGGTCCTGCTCCATGACCTGGGCTGCTTGGTGCTACTGTAATACACCGCATAAATAATGAGGTATAGGCCAAATTTTCAAAAGTGACCTCTGGTTTTGGGTGCCCCCTTTGAGACACAGTATGGTTGAATGTTAAGCACCCACAACTGCAGTTAAAGTTAATGGGAGCAACAAGAGGTCAACACCTCTGTAAGATCAATACCTAGGCATGGGTTAAGCCAGTCAATCAAAATGAATGGATGCTTGAAAAAATACAGTCTAAGTGAGTTGCCCAAGGTTACTGAGTGAGTCAGTAGCAGAGCCCACAAGAGAGTGCAGGGATTTGAGCTGAGTCCCCTCCTCTAAACACACTAGGCCAGAGCCTCAGCCGATTGACTTTGGTGGAGCAACGTCTGTTTGCAGCAGGTGAGGATCCGGCTTGCGGCCTGTCGTATTTAGCAAGTTACACACAGCGATCACATAACCAAATGCGGGCTTTCTGGATCCTTCCTATCCAGGGCAGATGTGCTGATTCTATTTCTAGGCAACTCCGAATCCAAACGTGACCTTTCCTGCCTCTACCAACTTGTATTTTTAATTGATTGCAGTGGATCAAAGCAGCACATGTTCCTTTAATGTGCTGGGCTTTGTTCACTTTTAAGTGATTAAACTTGGGGAGGGGAGGGGGAGAATTCCACAGCTGTGAAGTAACCATTGGGAACCATATACTCTTTATACTGTTGACAAGAAAAAGGACTTCTCCTGGAAGCTTCATAGAAACTTGCATTAGCTTTTTAATTGCTTGCCACAGCAGATTTTTTTTTCCAGTCAGCCTGAGCTGAGGGCTTGAATTTCTGAGAGTTCTGCTATATTCCTGCCCTCACATACGCTCAAAATGTGAAATCCATGTGGCCGTTGTGACTCATCTTCTGTCCCAAGTGCATTTCATCTAAAGGAGAAATCCAGTTTGAGCAAACAGCGAGTACATGCAAACAGCAATTGAAGAGACCCGCTTTTTAAAACTTCTGTTCTTGGGGGCTGAAAGGAGGGAGGAAGGATAACCCAGGGACTTGCATGCTAGCTTGGGATTTGAAACATCTGGGTTCAATTCCCTATCCGCCTCAGGGCCTCCTGTGTGTGACCCTGGGAAGTCACTGTGGGTATGTCTACACTGCAGTTGAAGGTGTGATTAATGCTAGCACGTTACAATCTAGTTAGCATGGGTAACAGTAGTACTGTAGATGTGGTGGGCTAACAACCAGAGTACTAGCCCGTCAGGGACCCTGGGTACCATAGTACTGGCGTCCATAGTGAGGAAAATGATGCACAAATACATTGCTGTGATGATATGAATTTCAGGCCCTGCTCACTTTTATGCTTCTGAGGCCAGATCCTCAGCTGGTGTAAATCAGCCTAGCTCAGTCCCAGGCATGTGAGTTAAGGCACAAAACAAGTAACGCCTAAAATACAAAGACAGTAGCTACCTTTTCCCCCCCGTTACAGCATGCTAAATGCTGCCACACTATGGAAAGACGCAGCCGTAGCTGGCAAGCGCAGAGTGGGCGGGAGACCCATTGCAGTTGGATCTTCAATTGTGCACACGTTTGTAAAGTTTCCCCTGGTGCTCAGTGGAGAGGACGTTTTAAGCAAGCTGAAAAACTGAAAATAAAAATATGGCTCTGCTATAGCCAAGGGTGGTGATGTTAAATGAAATAGACTAAAATAAAAATATTATTTAAACAACAAAAATATCTCATGTGAAGGATCTTTTTAGAAACTCCAGAAATGTCCTATTTGTAAAGGTCCATCCGGCCATAATACTTTTTGCATTCATATTTAATATGTTTTTTGTCAGGGCATATTAAAGTCCTGTACATAGGTAGGTAAAGTATCATCGCTTTTGTAAGCTGGAGAAACAGACACTGAAAGATGAAGTGACTTGCCCAGGGTTGCTTAGAAGGTCAGTGGGGGAGCTGGGAACGGGACCTTCTGGACTCCCTGTGCTGACTTTGCATAAGCCACTTTGTCTTCCCTGTGTCAATTTATTCAGCTGTAAAACAAGTCAGGTGGAGAACCCAGGTGCCCTGACTTCCAGTTCCCTGATCTAACCATTCGGACCTGTTGCCTTGCTACAATGCATCCCTAAAATACCCTTTTTACCCTTAGAACATGAACATCCAGGTGGAGGACATAAGGATCCGAGCTATTCTTGCTACCTACCGCAGGCGTGTGCCTGTTACGGAGGGTTACGTGGAGGTGAAAGACGGAGGGAGCTGGAAGCAGATCTGTGACAAACACTGGACCGCGAAGAATTCCCGAGTCGTCTGCGGCATGTTTGGATTTCCGGGCGAGAGGAAATACAACGCCAAGGTCTACAAGTAAGAGGGGAGCTTTTTATAAGCCTTGGTCGTGTTTCCCGAACACTCGGGCCTTGTTCAAAAATGCAAATTTCAAATTATAGCAAAGACCTAGAAGTGGGCAAACCTCGGCCAGTTGCTTCATTCCTGTGGATCAGATTTTACTTCTGTGTAAATATTTTAAATGTCGGGCACTTCCTTTTGTAACCAGGGGTACATGAGGCCAGTTTGAGCCCAACCTTTTTGGAGGAGATAAAGTGATGTGAACAAATTATCAAAGTTATATCTGTTTAAAGTCAGACAAAAAGATGGGCTTGGTTCACTGTCTTTCTATTTCCAACTACTAGATAGTCCTAATATTCTTTCTTTCTTTTTTTCTTTCTTTGTGGGCTCTGTGTGTGTAACATACGTATATGACTACGGTCTGAGTCCTGCACTTAGATCTTTGTGGAGGCCCATCAATCTCAGAGAGCCTGAGCAGGCATAGAGGTCCGTCTGCATAGATCCAGTTGTATGATCAGGGCCGGTACATGCCGTGACAGCAGTTTTAACCGATTGGAATTGCAGTAAGACAGGTCCTTGTTTTGTCTCATAACGCAAGATTCCTCATTCACACGACTGCATAGAATTCAGGGTTTCACACCTCGGACGAAATGTTTACCAAGCTTCTCTGGTATTTGCGCCTCACCTGGGCTCACCCTCCGTAGTTCCTGGGTGTCTGGCTGCCAACTCACTGAATTTAAGGATTGTGAGTTAGTTGCTGCTCAGCAGCTGTCTGCCTTGGAGAAATTTTCCAATAATTCTCCCACTGTTCAGCTCCACTGGAGTTAGCAGCCTTGGGAGCTCTTCAAAAGCTGGACTGCCAACTGCCTTCACTGTATTAAGCACCATGTCAATTAGCCCTGCTGTGAACGGGGTTAGATGACACGCCGCTTGAAATGTCGGCAGCCTGTCTACGCTAGGCCTCCCAACATGGCTGCTGCCTGTGGATCTGAAATGATGTTAGCAATGGTGGCACATTAGTCAAGTGTCCCTACTGTAAACAGGGCTTTACTGCTACTCTATAGTGCGCTGTCTTGCAATATCCACGGAGGGCATAAAATGAGGGAAGAGAACGAGGGTTATTTAGTCTGCAGAAGAGAAGAGTGAGGGGGGATTTGATAGCAGCCTTCAACTACCTGAAGAGGGGTTCCAAAGAGGATGGATCTAGACTGTTCTCAGTGGTGGCAGATGACAGAACAAGGAGCAATGGTCTCAAGTTGCTGTGGGGGAGGTCTAGGTTGGATATTAGTGTAACCCTTCTGCCCATCTAAGTTGGCAGCAACAAGGGCCGGGTTCTGTATCTAGGGGTTCCGTTTCAATAACACAATGCAAAACCGGCTCGAGCCCCCACCCAGTGACCTGGGACAATTACATACCACCCCCCTGGGTACCTCTAAGAGGCAATACTTCCCCTCTCGCAAGCACGGAGTCTGAGTGTAGCAGAAAATGTTTAATAACCTGAGGTAAACGACATCAGCATAAAATTGGAAAAACACCACAAACAGGATTCATAACACAAACCATGAGCAAAACCCACCCCAGCAAATTGGGCTGTGTCCTTTCCCTTTGGTTCTTGAATCCAGCAACCCAAAAATCACCCAGAGTCCCCAAAGTCCAACACCCCCAAAGTCTCTTGGGTCCAGCAACCACCCAAAGTCCCAAAAGTCCAACAACCCCCAAAGTCTCTGTCCCTGGTCAGTGCAGCCCCAGAGTAAAAGGGGGGGCATGCAGGGTGTTAAGGGGCACCTTACGTGATCCGAGGCTGGCCAGCTGTCTGTTTCTCCGTGGGGGTTTCGCCGCAGCCTTTACCACGAGCCAGCCCACTTTCCTGCCATCCCACGAACTGCTCCGCTCTACAAGCTGCTCCACTCCGCTCCGCTCACCGACCTGTGATCCGTTCCAGCCGTCCCCGCAAACAGCTCCACTCGCCGTTCCTTGGGCCGCTCCAACCGGCCCCGCAAGGCTCCATGCCGCTCGCTGCTCCTCCAGTCATCCCCACAAATTGCTCCACCAGCTGCTGAGCAATATAGCTTCAGGCTCCCCCACTAGTTAACACAGCCTCAGTGATCTCAGCTCTTAATAACATTAGCTCTTTTGTGATTTCAGCTCTTAGCGATTTCAGCTCATAGTATAGTAGGGGAGCCCCAGTGCTGGTGCACCATTGGCCCAAAGTGAATTCAGCTCAGCAGCCTGTAACTAGACTCCTAAGGGAATCAAAGTTCGCTCTGATATTCAACAGTGGAGAGAGGAGGCGGTGCAATTGGTGTTTCAGACCCTCAGAGGGGGGCCCATACCATCAGGTACAAATACCTGTCCCCATCCTCTCTCAATTCACTGGGTTTTGTAACCCATGCCCTTTGTCAAGCAAGTGCTACTTAGGTAATGGTGAAGGACTCACTCAGTCCTTCTGTCATACAACAGTTCCACTGGCCTTTATTCACAGAATCAGGGTAACAAAACTTTATTCTTCCTGCCCCAATAATAGAGAAACTGGGGATCCCATACCAGCCAAAGTAATCACTTTCAGTTGCTGTGTTTCATCCCAGGCGAGTGGGTGTGCCCATGCAAACAAGATCAGCCCCTGGAGTTCTTTTCCACACTCGCCATAATTCACCACCAGATGTCAGGGTAGAGCTCATCCTGACTCTGCTTACATCAGGAAACACTATTTCACTAGGAGGGTGGTGGCGCACTGGAATGGGTTACCTAGGAAGGTGGTGGAATTTCCTTCCTTAGAGGTTTTTAAGGTCCGGCTTGACAAAGCCCTGGCTGGGATGATTTAGTTGGTGTTGGCCCTGCTTTGAGCAGGGGGTTGGACTAAATGACCTCCTGAGGTCTCTTCCAACCCTAATCTTCTTTGATTCTATGATCCCTGGGGGAAAGCCTGCAGTGTCCTTTTGGCTGCATGCAGAATAAAACTAGCAGGAATCCTGACTGTCCCGCTGCGAGCTAGCTTGCTGCAGATTTGTTTTTGTCTCCAGCTAGTAACCTAAACACATTTTGCTCTTTACAGTTTACAACAAGGCAGCTGCAAAATAGCTTATGCTAAGAAATCATCCAGTTTCTCCCCCAAGTCCATGATCTATGGAGCTGGACCAGGGACTAAGCTGGTGGGGGAGAATTTTATTCGTAAGAAGCAATAGTTGTCGTTTTTCCGCTTGTTACTTTAGCTCACAGGCGGGCTGTTTCTCTAGGTTCCTGTTGGAGCTGACTGGCTGCGCTTCATGTTTCTCGTTAGTAAGATGAAGACAATCGGTTGAAAAGGTCCTGGGGCTGGAATACTGTAAAGCAGCACAAATAAAACACCCAAACTAGAGTTTTTTTGTTTTCCGGCGTCTAAGGGATACAAGTGGTGAAGTCGTAATTGCTACCAGGCGGTCTCGTGTTTTGTTCTGGACTATTGGAGTAGAGGAACGCGTGTTTCCATCCATGCCTGTTTTCTCTCCTGAGCTAAAGAGATACTGTTGTGCTCCTGCACTGCACATCAGAACCACATAATCAATTCGCTCTAATAAGACCAAGCAGATCCTTCCTGCTCGGCACTTAGAGGTGTTTCCAAGAAGGATGGTATCATTTTAATGGTTGGAAGCAACTGTACTTACTAAATGATGGCTTGGTAACTTTCCTTCAGCCCACGATAGTGCATGTGCCAGGGAGATTTAGGCTAGATATTGGAAAGTTTTTCCTAACTAAAGGATAGTTAAGCACTGGAACAGGTTACCTAGGGAGCGTGTGGAATCCCCATCATTGGAGGTTTTTAAGAACGGGTTAGACAAGCACCTGTCAGGGATGGGCTAGGCATACTTAATGCTTCCTCAGCACAGGGAGATGGACTTAGAGCAGCGGTTCTCAAACTTCGTTGCACTGCGATTCCCTTCTGACAACAAAAATTACTATACGACCCCAGGAGCCGGGACTGAAGCCTGAGCCCACCCGAGCCCTGCCACCCTGGGCGGGGGATCAAAACCAAAGCCCAAGGGCTTCATCCCCGGGTAGCGGGCTTGTAATCTGAGCCCCACCACCAGGGCTGAAGCTGAAGCCTGACCCCTGGGTGGTGGGGCTCAGGGTTTGGCCCTGAGAGGTGAAGCTCGGGCTTTGACTTCAACCCCAGGCGGTGGGGCTCAGACTTCGGCTTTGGCCCCGGCTCCAGCCAGTCTAACGCCAGCCCTGGAGCCCCCATTAAAACAGGGTCGCAACCCACTTTGAGGTCCCGACCCACAGTTTGAGAACCACTGGACTAGATGACCTCTTGAGGTCCCTTTCAGCCCTACATTTCTATGATTCTGTGTGCATCATACCCACCAAGATGCCTTTGGTCTATCTGAGGTGGGAGTCATGTTTCTAGGTACATGCAGTATCTTTCCTTATGTTCTCTATTAAGGACTGGGTTATTTACCTTTAAGCATTGTAAGCTGAATCTTGTGCATGTGTGTGTAGGATGTGTTCAGGTGCATAGTTATGGATGAGATAAAGTATGCTCTGTGTGTACAGATATATATTTAATCAGTACACATTGTGTGTGTGGATTAGGATATTCAGATCAGGGATTTTTGCATATTTCTAGTGCATATAAAAATAAATAATACAGCATTATTAACCCAATGTTACAGATGGGAGAAAAATAAGGCACTGAGATTTAGCCTGATTTTCAGAGGCACTGGGGATGTGCAGCTCCCTGGGACCACAGTCTGAGTTGTGGATACTCTAAATACCAGCCTCTAAGTGACTTTTCTAAAGTCACACAGTAAGTCAGTGGCAGAGAACCTAGTGCCTATTCCCCTGCAGTCTCCCCCTTGTATCTATGTGCCAGGCCCAGCTACAGGTAAAAGGGAGAACTGATATCTGAGCTGTTGATACCCAAATAAAGATATTTGGAAAATGTGTTAAATATTTTCCACAGTGTTGGAACAGCCTGGGGTGTGATTGTGCCAAAGGAGGAAAATTTTGAATTGTGTTTGTACTTTCCTAAGTACAGATCTGTCAGACTTTATTGGATTGTCACCTCTAAAAGAATTGTTTCCCTTCCTGTGGCATTGCGTGTGTGCCCAAAGTTACTGGAACCCTGCATTTAATGCATTAAGACTTCTTATTAGGGCAAAGCTGTATTGAATAGTGGCCTGCCAGGACTAAGTAAAACTCCAAGGGTCCTGCCCCATAGGCATGTGTTAAATCAGGGCTGGTGTCTTCAGTGGTAGTCTCTGCTTCGGTCACTCTAAAGTCCTTCTCAGGAATCCAGGTCATCTGTCATATCCTGCAAATCCAGGGCTCATCCTCCATTCTGTAGCTTATTCCGCCCACTGTCTAGTCCTATTGAATAGTGGTTTGAGGAAGGAAAGATTTCATCCCTCCCTGGTCACGTGGAATGAGCTTCTTTCCCATGTGAGAATCAAGCCCTGTAACGTTTTTCTCAGGCTTCGCACGGCATAATTTGTAAATAGCCTTTTCCTGCGAGTGGAACCTTTCACACTGTTATCCCACAGCTGGGTAACCAGATTTCAGATCCGGTTCCTAAACCGGCTTTATAATGCTGCAGGTTAGGGGTTGTGAACACCCCCTTCCATATCCACAGTCATCCCCTTTCCTGCTAACTGCAGCTTGGCAGGCTGAGCTAGCAGAAATTCAGCTTTGCTTCTGCACCATGGTGGGAGGTGAAATAATTTGCAGATGGATCCTGCTTGAAAGAAAACAACTTAGCTCATCATCCTCTTGCTGCCAAAGTTTTATCCCTCAATATAATTTAGCTTCTCCATTTGATGGCACAATTTCTGTTAAGAAACAAAACAAACCTCAGTGCATTTTCCATGCTCCCGTTGCTCCTTCAAAGCTATTTATTTAAGAGCTTTCATAAATTCATCTCCCAAACCCCAGTTCCCGTGGTGGAAGGGGAGCAGTATGAGTTCCATTTTACAGATGGGCAAATTGAGGGAAGATAGGTTTATGGTCGGATATCCTGAACCTCTGCAACTCTCACTGGAGTGAGCAGGAGCTCAGTCCAAGATGGTCAAGAGAGTATAAGAGCTGGGAATAGAACTCAGGAGTTCCTGGCTTTCTAACCTGTATTCACATCAAACCATTCCTTTCTCATCTATGGCTGAGAGCTGCCCTCAACCTTAAAATCATAAGATCATACATCTGTGTTTGAATTTATGGGGCAATGCATTGCGCCCTGTCTGGAGAACAAATCTCTGCAGGTTTTTACTGGGAAAGCAAGATCCCCAGTAGGCAGAAGACAACAGATCTGGCAGCTCCTCTGCCCTGCTGCACAAGGCTGGAGAATTCATGCTTGCTAACTTGTGCAGATGCCTGCCCCAGGGGGAAAGTTAATCGGGGTGGAGATGCTGTCTTTCAGCAGAGCCAGAAACCGGTGTCTCAGGCCCACTGAATCAGAGGGGAGAGTATTTGATTGATTTTTTTTCCCTGTTAATCCATCGAAGGACAGGATTAGCTCCCCCTAAATTCCCGATGATGCTCCATGCTTACCTACAGCAGGTGGCCAAAATCATTGCTTCAGTTCATTATACCATGGAGGAATTTTCCCCAGTGACTTTGGCCGGCGGTAGCCACTGGTTTATGCTCTTCTCTAATGAAAGCCGTTTATGTGGCCCCTGGCCCCTCTCACACCATTCCTACCAAAGCAGGGCTGCTCTTAGCTGAATCTTGAACCTTCCCTCAGACTGATGATGGGGCTCTTGCGTTGTTTCCATTAAAGCTGATAGAGGGACAGTTCAATGGATGGTGAAGATCAGTTTTTAACGACCCATTAAAAAACACTCAGTTGATTCTGTCTCTTAAACTCTCAGGACCTGAGTCTTTATTCATATCCCTTTGGCATTGGTAGAGTTACTCCTGATTTACGCCAGTGTCAGTGAGGTTTGGATAGGCTCCTTTCTGTATCATCAGTGCCAGAAAGTCTTCAATAATCTACTGGGTAGCCTAGGGAACTGTAAAGTAAACTGTAGTCTACAACCTTTGAAAATCCAGAATCTGTCAAGGGAGGTAAGCTGACAACAGGCCCAGGGCATTTTCTGGGTATTAACAACCAGTTTACCAAGGGCTATTAATGCCAGCCAGATGTAAATACCTCAAGAAATTCCTTGGGATGAGATCATTATTTGCTATAAAAAGACAGCCCTTCATTTGCTATTATAAGGCAGACCCATGTTCCTTGTCAGCTTGCAAAATTCATGTAACTCTTGGCGTGTGTATGGCGGGTCAAGGATTTCCAGTGTAAATGCTTATAATGCTTGTATTTTTCTAATGAACAAAAAAACTGAATCCCGAACAGCCAGCTCTCATGAGTATAGATGTCTCAATGTAGGGCCAGATTCTGATCTCCATTACACTGATGTAAATCCGGAGTAATATCAATGTTCACTGAAGTCAGTTTTATTCTCAATTTTACCCTGGTATGACTGACAGCAGAATCTGGCCCCTTGTTTGTATTTCAAAGTGATCAGTTATTAACTTTGGGGTCACTTCTGCTGGGATTTTCAGACCCCTAAAGGAGTTAGGTACCCAGTTCTCGCTGCCTTTCAATCCCAGGCTTCAGTCGAAAGCGGAACTGGATGTTCCTGTTAAGAAATGGCTGGCCCAAACCCATCAGCTGGGTTTCCTTATTTGCCTGCTGTGCGTGTTTCTTTCTAAACGGGATGTTGACTTTGTTACTTTTGCGCTCTAGCTGGTGACTCCCTTTTAAACTTGTGCCAGGGAGACTTAGTTGGGGGTGGGGATGGATGGTGGAATAGAGCTGTTCAAAAGGTGGTTTAATTTTTGTAATTTCAATGAAATTTCAAAGTTTTGCTATCACCGCGCCTCTGAAAACCAAACAAAGCTTGAGTGATTTTTGTCCTGGGTTTCTATCCGTTTGACTTTTAAATTAACTGTCTATCGGTTTTGGGGGTAAATTTAGTGGTGGGGGAAGATTTTATTTTTGGTTTGACAGCCTTGGAGGCCTTCATGTACAAGACAGACAAGTTTCCTCTGCACAGCTCCATGATGATGGAAGGATCCAGCTCTAGGAAGGTTACAGCTCCGTATCCAGGAGCCACTGCAGCCTAGACACCGCTGCTGAGACTGACGACAAGGATGGGCCATTAGAACCAACTGTTGAATGGTGGATTCTGTCCTTTTGGACAGCTGCCCACTGGGAAGCGGACTGAGATCCTATTTCATGTGGCCCCTCTGAATGGTCATCAGATGGGAACAACTTTCAGTCGCTTCCAATCTAGGCTGGATTGACACCAACAACCTAGTTAGCGGGAAAAGACTCTCTCTCTGCCAGCTCCCTGAACTGTTCAGCTGCCCTCCCCGCATTTTGGCTTTCCTTTATCAATGCTACAATTAATCAAAATCTTAGCTTCATTTCTTAGCGCTTTGTCCACCTTAATTACACTCTCCTAGCTACCTTTCGGATCACTGTCACTCCTTTGCTACTCACTCCGGAATAGTGGCACATGTGGGCTCTTGTAAAGACACTTCTGGATTACAGTTGTGTGTTGGCTCCTTTGGATTTTGATTAACTTAATTTGCAGAATCTCCCCTCGGGTGGTGGTAGATGTCCATTCATTCCAACCATTTTAGCTCAGATGCAGCCATAAGACAGCCTTGTGTTTTCGGTTGGGAGGAAGTTGAACAGTTTTTGGTTTTGGTTTTTTTCCCATGGGCTTATCTCTCCTCCACTCCGCAGTCACTGGAGTCATTCCCACTGAGCGATCCAGTTTGGGAGCAAGATGTGGAATCTCCTGCCAATCTCCTCTGCTGTAAACGTGTCATAAGGAGAGTTGCTCTCCTTAGGCTCGAGGCTGTTAACACTGCAGCTCTGAGAAGCGTTGGAGAGCCCTTGTTTTATCTCCAGTTTTGCCATCTTCCCCCCAGCTAGTTTACTGGGATAACAACTATGTCAAGGGCCACATTTTCATGGGGCCTGCAACAATGCACCAGCTTTATTTGCTCTGCACCAGTTTGCATATGCCCCCCCGCCCAAATCCCTGCATTTTGTGCAAAGTGTTAGTTTATGCCTGTGCAGCGTGTGGTGCAAGTAGAATTGCACAAGTGTGTCTGTGTCCCTTTGGGTGGCTGATCCAGAGAGAGGATAGTCTCCTGCTACTGCTCCCTGCTCATGGACTTAGTCCTTTCACTCAAGTAGCAGAGGTCTGAACTTCAGACCTGAGATCAGTACTTGGTGACAGACTAAACAAAGGGTGATTACACAAGGAAATGTATCTGTGGCCAGTCAATCTTAACTTGATTAAATTAATTCTTTTTAAATGTAGTTAAACCAGTGCAACTTCTAAGTGTAGATAAAGCCTGTATCACCCTGCTCTCAGCTTCCCTGTCCAGCTTCAGGAAGCAGATGAGATATGGGAAAGATAGGAAAATTTCTGTACTAATCCATTTGCTAGAAATTTAGCAGTAGTTTTCAGTTAATCCAGGGTTCTTTTAAAGTTCAGCTGCAGTATTTGTCTCAACAACTTCTTGTGGCAGGGAGTTCCACAGGCTGGTGGTGCAGAGAATGATTTCCTTTGAGTGGTTTTGAATGATTTCACTAGCTGTCTGATTTCCTTTTTCTTTCAGGATGTTTGCCAGCAAGAGGAAGCACAATTATTGGGCTTACTCCATGGACTGCACTGGCAACGAAGCTCACATCTCCAGCTGCAAACTGGGCAACCATCTCAGCGTGGATGCCGAGAAGAATATCACCTGTGAAAACGGGATGCCTGCTGTGGTGAGCTGCATCCCTGGGCGTGCCTTTGCTCCCAGCAGCAACAGTGGCTTCCGAAAAGCCTTTAGGCAGGAGGTAAGGAGACAGCTCCAGCCATCCCACTAGAAAGAGCTTTGATGTTATGGGTGTGTGTTTAAACTGCATAAATACGGTCAGCTATCGGAGATGTGGAAACTTCAAACATCAAACTAATTTCATCCAGCTCCAATAAGACAAATTATTCTGAATGAATGCAGTGTAGTTTACCATTAGAAACAGTTTTATCCTAACACAAGACAGGCTCCAATCCTGTAAAGACTCACCCATGGGCATAGCTTTATCTACTGAGTGGTCCATCCACTTAGTGGAGCTGTTCACAGTGAGTAAAGTTTAAGCATATGAGTAAATCTTTGCAGGATCAGGGCTGTACTGTGTTAGGACAAAAATGCTTGTGTGTGACTGACGGTAAATTACGCTGCATGCATTCAGGATAATTTGTGGTGGTGTTAGAGCTGGATGAAATTAGTTTGAGTTTTGAAATCTCCATGAAAAATTTAATCCGTTTCAAATTTCAGCCAAAAATTAGAACAACAAAGGGGGTGGGGGAAGAGGGAGGAGTTTTGACAACTTTGTCCTTGTTTTTCAACCAACTATAGCACTGGTCAGAATGTTTTTGAATTCCTATGCAATTCTGACCAGGAAAAAAAAATAGTTTTTTGGGGGAGATGTAATTTATTTCCTGTTTTTGAACATTTCTACTAATAATTATTTATTAGTTGTCACTTGCACTATAATAGTGTTTTGAGGCCCCTCCCCATATCAGGACTGCATTGTGCTAGGTGCTGTACGTACACATAATAAGAGAGAACCCTGCTTTAGGGTAGCTTACAATTGAAAGCTCCAGTCTGTAAATTGTTCTGCATAGGTACTCCTCTATTGATTTCCGCCTGGCTCCACATGGAGCTAGTTGCAGGATCAACATAGACAAGACAGTCAAAGGGTGGGAGAAGACTGGGAACTGAGGCGCAGTGAGACTGAGGGTATGTCTACATTGCAATAACTGTGTGTGATTGCAGCTTGTGTAGATATATCTAAGCTAGCTTTAATCTAGCTAGATCAGAACAGTGAAGCTATGGCAGCGCAGGCTGTATAAGCCCACCTAGAATCCTGGGTAATTATTTGAATCACTCACCCGCACTGCTAGGTCATTATGCCTACACAAGCTGCAATCAAACCCTGGAATTGCAGTGCAGCCGTGTCTAAGCCATTTCCCCGATGGCGTCAGTGGCAGATGTAGAAATGGAACCCAAACCCGCTGAGTCCCACTCCCAATGTCTTAAAAACAAAACCACCTGCCTTGCGGTTCTTAATTCCCTTCCCCTCCACCAGCAGAGTTCTCTTGACAATGAGCGTCCCAGCACATAGATTGCGTTGAGCGTCCATCCTCCAATCTCCCTGCCGTTCTAACTCGGGATGCTTGGCTCAAGATGTTGAGGGATTCGTTTAGCGCCGAAGTTGGCAAGGCAATAAGCAAGTAGGAAGAAAATACATATATCACAGCTTCGTTTTGAGTTGTTCTGCTGAAGCCAGTTGAACAATTGCCTGGCTGCTCCTGGGCTTGCTGGTTCGCAGTTACTTAGACTCTGCTGGTTAGTCTCTCACTATAGATATTGTACATACAAAATAGCCAAGATATTGGATTATCTTCTACTGACAAATACCGTTGAGTGACAGAAGATCCTAGCACGAGGGCTTGTTTGGATTTTAAGGGGATTTAGTGCTGGGGAAATGTCAAATTGACCTCACCCATGGAGAATGAAGCTTTGTGATTTACACCCATCCCCACCCCGGACAGGCTCAGCACAGGTAGCATGATGCCCTGCCAACCTGTCTCGCCAGGAGAGTGGGCCCTGGGGATAGAACTCCAATCACTCTTTTTGGCTTCTCTGCTGAGGCTGCCGACAAATAGGACAGTGAGTAGAGTGGTGGGTTTGGTGAGGTGGACACCAGGACAAAGACAAAACTTGCTTCACAAAGGTCACCAAAGAGTCATGAGGTGGGAAAGGCATTTGGTCACTACTAAGCTGTGATAGATTCAAGCTAGTGACCCAAGTCTGGGTTTTCTACATAAAACAGCGTGGCCTAGTCAATAGGTCACTAAAATGGGTGTCAGGAGACGTGGATTCAGTTCCCATCTCTGCCACTGACTTACTGTAACCTTTGGCAGGTTACTTCCCCTCTCTGTGCTTCTGTTTCCCTCCCACCCTTCATCCATCTTGTCTGCTTAGATCATACGGCCTGTAAAGAAGGGAATGTCTCTTACTGTGTGTCTGTTCAGGGCCTGCAACAACAGGGCCTTGATCTTGGTTGGGCCATTGATAATTCACACGCCTGAAGTTATTCACGTGAGTGGTCAAGTGTTTACAGGATCTGGGCCTCAGAGATGAAAGGCTGTGTAAACCATAACTACGCTTCTGAGCTGTTCAAATCGCCAATTAATTCTTTAAGCATTCATGTAGGCTCTGGAGGTCCTTCAGCTGAGCCCGGCCTGGAGGACTGTATGTACCTCCAATTTTAAACACTGGAGGTTCTTTGGTCTCAAGTCTCACTCAAATCATGTACTGTTCACTTAATTATGGCCGGCTCTCCAAAGCAGTAGTGCATTCTCCAGCTGCAACCCCAGCTGCTTATCTCTCTACTTGGAAGGTAATGGGCAGAGTTGGAAAAGGCTTTAATCCTCCCAGTGCTGAGTTTAAAAATAAAATTTTAAATTTATCCTGGTCTGGATTTGAACCAGCAACCCAGCCATAAAAGACTCCATATCCCATTCCCAATCTCATTCTGTCTCCTGCATCCCTAGCTCATAGGGTGAATTGAAAAATGGGATGTTGTTTTCATGAGTGTCATCCCTTTTTTTAATCAAAATTTGAAATTTTGATGAAAAGTGTTTGCTGGAATTTAAAAAAATAAAATATTACCACCAGCTCTACAGCAGGTCAAAAAACTAACCAAGGTACTTTATGCCATTACCGTGGTATGTGAGCGCCTCACAATCTTTAATGTATTCAGTGTCACAAACAAACAACCTGGTTTTCATTTAGACTTCAGTGAAAAGTGTCATCAGAACTGTGAAAATGGTTCTGACTGGGTGCCATTACCACAGTATCTGTGCACCTCAAACATGAACAGTTCTTTTCAGAACTCCCCTGTGAATAGGGAAGTATTATTAATTCTCATTTTGCAGATGGGGAAACTGGGGCACAGGCTTACCCAAGGTCACACAGGGAGTCTGTGGCAGAGCCAAGAATAATACCTAGATCTCCTGACTCCCAGTCTAGTGTCTTAACCACAAGACCATTCTTCTCTTTCCTTGGCATTTAACTGTATATGGTAATTCTTCAGTAATATAAGTTCTGTGTAATCATGGCTATGGTGTGATGTCTGTATGCTGACGTGCAGTTACAGTTTCAAAGCCAAAGGTATTTGACTGATGTTGTGCTGTCTTGGGCAGCTTTTACTGGCTTTTATTTAACCTCAGTTCAGGATTGCAGACATGTCTTTTGCACTGCATGCTATAATTATATTGGGTGTTATCTTCTGTTGAGTTAAATATTTCTGTGCCCTTAAACCTCAGCAACATAACTGGTTACTGAGACACCCACCAAACAGTGGTGGAATGCCTCTTGTGCTACTGTATGGAACAGATGGTCTGTTTTCATGAGATTGCAGGGACTCAAAGCAAATGTATTCTTGGGGAATTGTGCTATTTTTTTCCTTCTGTAAGTGTGAGGCAGGTGAGCTACTGTGGGTTTTTATATTATCATTTACTTTAAAATACAGCTCTTCAACTGGGGAATCTCAAAGCACTTTGGAGACCTAATCAATCAAGCCTCGCAACATCCCTGTGAAGTGCTATTGGTAGAGTTTTATAACCTTTTTCTGAACATGAGATTCTTGTGCTAATCATAGTCTGTTTTAAACAGGCGGCATTTATTAAAGAAACAATTACATCTACAGACAAACAGGCTTCTACTTAGCTTGAGCTCCAGCTTTGTCTCACCTGATTTTCACCTGTCTGGAACAGCAGAGACCTCTAGTGACTGAATAACATACAGCAAGTAAACATATAATTACAACTATCTCAAAAGGCACCTTCAGCATTCTTCTGTGTGATTAAAAGAATAAATGATTCTCTTCGGTCGAGATCCTAGGGCAAAACTCCCATCGGCCTCAGTGCGGGCAGGATCAGGGCTCATAAGGATTGAAGGATAAGACCCAGCATAGTTTTAAGGTATAATCAGCTGGGGTCAGTGTTCTGGGACAGCATGTTACCATGCAACTTGTGAAAAGGCTGCATTTATTCCACTATTAATAGTTACTTAATCTGTAGCTTTTTGGAAGGGACAATTTCCTCAGACTTATGGGAAAGCATGGACACAGTGTACTTGGATGATGCAATGGTATTTGGTTTGTTTAACACATTTTTTACAGATCTTATGAAAGCTGATGTTCACGCTGGGATTTGGGGCCCCATGTTCTTATCCAAATAGGATCACCGGACCAAATCCTCCTCTGGTGTAAATTGCTGAAGCTCCATTGACTTCAGTGAAGCAGCACCAGTTTATTGTCTCTGAGTATAGTTGAGGAATGTGTTTTTCATTTCACTCTGACTCCCCTTGTGTCTGCAGCACACAGGCCAAATCCTGCCTTGGCTGGCACAGGATGGGCCGCTCCCGGTGCACCCACTGCCACAGGAATCCTGGCTGCCCATTCACTGTCTGGCTGACATTCTTTGCCGTTCCTCTGGGGAAGGCAGCCAAGCCTCCAGGATTGTCCTGGAGCCTCCAGGACAAAGATGAATCTTCAGTTAAAGATGATGTCATGTGATGAAACTTCCGGGAATACGTCCAAACCAAAATTGGCAACCCTACTTCTAGGCAACTGCAACGTGCTCGTGCACACACTGCTGTGGCTAACCAGCATGCTAGCCGGCTGGGGGAATAGACACTGGGCCCAAGCCTCCGACTCCACCCTCTTGGGGACGTGGTGTGAGGGTTGGTTTGTGAGCCACCAGGCCGGTTCCTGTATGCTATAACAGATCCTGTCTCCCAATTGTTTGTGCCTAGGGTGGTTTGTGCCTACGCCCTCTTTGCTCCCAAACCCATGCACCAGAACAGCAAAGAATAAGATTCTAGCACATCTTCCACCCTATTGTATTCCCCATCCCTATGCATGAACTAGGACTATGGAAGAGGAGAACCACACGTGTGCATCGTGAACCTTAGCCATTTCTTGGAACCAGTCCTTTCCTGAGGCATGAAAATATACATTTAAGGAGACTTCTTTCCCCCTCCGCCTCCACCATCTCCCTCTTGGAGTAAGTGTAACCACACAGGGTCTCCTTCTGCCTGGCAGTCCTGGACAGCTGCCTGCTATAGACTGCCCATCTGGAATGGTATCTTTTTTTTTTTTTTTTTTTTTTTTGAGGAACTGTAGTGGGAATCCAGAGAGAAGTCCTGTTTTTCATAGATTCTAGGACTGGAAGGGACCTCGAGAGGTCATCGAGTCCAGTCCCCTGCCCTCATGGCATGACCAAATACGGTTTAGACCATTCCTGATAGACATGTATCTAACCTACTCTTAAATATCTCCAGAGATGGAGATTCCACAACCTCCCTAAACAATTTATTCCAGTGTTTAACCACCCTGACAGTTAGTAACTTTTTCCTAATGTCCAACCTAGACCTCCCTTGCTGCAGTTTAAGCCCATTGCTTCTTGTTCTATCCTTAGAGGCTAAGATGAACAAGTTTTCTCCCTCCTCCTTATGACCCCCTTTAGATACCTGAAAATTGCTACCATGTCCCTTCTCAGTCTTCTCATTTCCAAACTAAACAAACCCAATTCTTTCAGCCTTCCTTCATAGGTCATGTTCTCTAGACCTTTAATCATTCTTGTTGCTCCTGTTACAGCAGTTCTGTTGTTAGGGGCTCATTAGGCTAGTGCTCCATATTTTCAGAAGTGACCAGTGATTGCATGTGCCTCAGCTTTTGTGTATATTGTATGAAAATCAAGTCCCATTAAGGTTCTCATGTCGGTTGCTTCTGGAAATCTGGGCCCAGGCGGTCAAGTTTATTAGCAAGTTGGTAAGCAGCATGGCTATACCAAGGCCAAAAGTTTAAATTGTAAATAATTGCTACTTTTGCCAGTTTCGTTCATAAAGAGTGACGTTGCACCCGGGTTTTTGTATTACAGCAGCCATTGGTCAGACTGAAAGGCGGGGCCAAGATTGGAGAAGGCAGAGTGGAAGTGCTGAAGAATGGGGAATGGGGAACTGTTTGCGACGACCGATGGAACCTGATTTCGGCCAGTGTGGTCTGCCGAGAGCTGGGTTTCGGGAGCGCCCAGGAGGCTATAACAGGCGCAAGGCTTGGACAAGGTAATGAGAACGTAATGGACCATCAGCTCTGACCGCCTTCAGAGAACTCCCAAGGGATGTGAAATTAGATGAACAGGAAAGAGAAATTCAGCTGTCTTTTGAACTTCAGTAGTGTTATGGGCCAGATCCTGAGGCCCACAATTCCCATTGAAATCATTAGTATGGAGTCATTGGAAGTCACTGAGTTGCAGGAAGAGCTGGTCGGAAACTGGGATTTTCATTCTGCAGGAAATAATAAAAAATTTCTTCTGAACCAGAACAAAAAGCTGAAATTTCCCACAGAATGAAAATTCACTTAAAAAAAAATGATTTGGTCAAATAATTGTATTTTGATAAGGTAGAAACATTTCCTTTTGACTTTTTGAACTTTGAATATAATATACATATTTGTCATAGCTACATATATCAAATTATTTAATACAATATAAATTGTTTGTTACAGTTATATAATATGTATTATAGTTAAGATTTTAATATAATATAATAGCCAAAAGGAAATTTTCTTATTGAAATTAAATGAGAAAAATCAGACTCAACACATTCCTGTAAAATGTTTTGATTTTGACAAAACTGACTTTTTGATGGAAAACCATTCCATTACAAAGCTCTTGTTCCAAGTGCTCAGCAGTCAAGCTGGTTGAATTGGGGAGCAGAATTGCAACTTTTTTCACTTCATTTTTTCCCCTGTTTTATTTCAGTTGTAGGTGACATTTTGACTCTTAAAAGTCATGTTTCAGAAATGTCAGGCAGCATCATTCAGAGTGTCCTTTGGTTTGCCCAAGTGTATGGAACAAAATGATTGGAGACAGACCTTTTGTTGGCTTCATTGATTCATAAATATTTAGAGATCTGCACAAACATCAAATCCACACTTACCAGCACAAGTTTGTTCTCTGAGGCCCTATCCACACAAGTTTTGAAATAACAGTTGCTACAACTGTGTTCAAACATGGATGCGTTCTTTTCTTGCCTTCTCTATCTCCTTTCCTTATCTGTTTCCTACAAACTTTAAAAAGACATAGGCATGGGAAGCAATCGAAGTTTGATAAGGCTTGCCTTTATAGCAGGTTGTGTGAGAAATAAGCCAAATTGATCTCTATGGCCATGACTATTTGCATAGATTTAAAGGCCAGAAGGAACCACTATGATCAACTCATTTGACCTCTTGCATCATGCAGGCCAGGGGATATGGCTCAGTAACTTCCTTCACTGGAGAAAAATTATTCTTCCCTGCTATTTAAGTGAGACTATTGAGCCCAATAACTTGTGGTTGAACTAGATAGAGCACATCATTTAAAAAGAGACCCAGTTTTCATTTAACGACTTCTAGTGAGGGTGGATTTACCCGTTCCCTTGGACAGCTGTTGCAGCCGTTACTTACTCTAGTTGTTAAGAATTAAAGAATGAAAAATATCTCTTAGAAACTCACTAGGATAAATATTCTGGTGCCATTCACTACTAGAGATTGGCTCCAGCTGCAAAATATATGTCTGGATCCTAGTTTCAAACACCGTAAAACTCAGATCTGGAGTCTTGGTTCAGCCTGTTATAACCAGACATGCCAAACCCTTGGAAAAAAAGGCAGAAATTGGGCTTGTTTTTGGCTTAATTGGCTTGTGAGTTGCTTTTTGGCTAGTTTTGGCTTGTAGCTTGTTGCACGTTGTAGCTTGTTGCTTCTTATTTTTGATTGGCTCCTGGTGAGGGGGGGCAAGGGGGGGGAGAGTCAGGGGTGCACAGCAGGCCCACCACAGTCCCAGATGGCACGCCGGGGGGAATCTAGTCACATAGAGTGTTGGGGGTTCTTAGGGATTGGCTTGTTTTGGTCTTGTTTTGAAATGGGATTAGCTTGATTTTTGGCTTATTGTGGAAGTCCGGGTGCTTATTTACCACGTGAAAGTTGGCAACTGTGGTTGTAACTATAGGGGCTATTTGTACAGTCTGGAAGCAGATCTGGGTTTGGATTTCCTGCATGTGGGGATGATTGAGATCCCAGGCTTTAGTTACCTCAAAATCCAGAGAACTATCTCCCAGGCCTGCCTTTATATGCCCTAGTCCTTGCTCTCATATGGCTAGCGTCAAATCTAAAGAAATCTACCACCAAACAAAAGTGTCACTGTAAAACCAAATGAATAATTGAAACTCCTCCAGACTTTTGGTTTGGTGACGGAAAGGGAAAATTAATTACACGTATGAGAAATAGCTGGAATGTGAAAAGCTTTAAATGTGCCCTTACTGAACAAAGTGCCAAGGAGCCGGGTGGTAGGACGCAGAGTACTGCCGATGTGTATTTGACTGTGGGTATAAGGAAGCATTATCTTCATGCATAAAATGTTACTGCCACGTGGTAGGGGAGAGTGTCCTGCTCTCTCATGTTACACACCCAGAACCTGGAAACTTTTTTAGCAGTGGCTGTTCATTCCCAGTGAAATTCTTTCCTTTTATTTTAAACACTGAGCACAATGAGTCCCCAAGCTCAATTTATCTTGGCCAAAATTTCTCTCTAGGATCAATAAATCTTGATAAGTCTCCTCTCCAGAAAGTCATCTCTGCTTATTGCAGTAGGATAAGAGACTGATTTGACTGCATTTTATATGGTGTAACGGGTGATAGCTCTTAATCCCATATGCCGCACAGAGGTGTGACTCCAGCATGGGGAATCGTCCCCGATCTAGCTGAGATCTGGCTACCTTGAGTAACAACAGCAGTGAAGCCACAGCAGCAAGGGCCGTACAAACCCATCTGGAATCCTGGCTCTTTACTTGGGCGACTGGCCCGGGCTGCAATTACTTCACTGCTATTGTTATTCCAGCGAGTGAGATCAAAGCTCGCTCAGGTACATCTACACATGCTGCCGTCACACCTCTGATTGCCATGTAGAGATGCCCTGTGATAGAGGGGAGGTCAGACTAGATGATCTGGTGGTGCCTTCTGGCCTTAAACTCGATGAATGCTCAACCTCACTAAACAAGCCAAACAAAGGGTGGCTATCCCCATTTTACTGATGGGAACTGAGAGGCCGATTAAATGACTCTCCTAGGGTGTCTGTTGAAGAGCTGAGAATAGAACCCAGATCTCCTGAGTCCCAGGCCAGTGCCTTAATTACATGTCCATCAAACCCTGCTAACTCTGAGCGTTCCCTGTCCCCAAAAGCCTAGGAGAAAACATGCATCCATAGTACCCAGAAAAGTATGGTATAGTAGAATGGTATATAGGAGTCCAATAATGTACCTCTTGCTCACACAAGTAGTTCCATCAAACTTAATGAGGCCGCTTGCGTGAGTCAGATTTATAGGATCACCTCCTATGCAGCTATACGAAGTCACTCCTTTGCCCAGAAAAAATATAGCCCTGTTTTTCCATTTTATCAGCAACTTTCAGCACAGACTGTCCTGCAACATGGAAACATTCCAGTGCCAAGGGGGTCGGTCTTTGACATGCAGAGTCAGCAAAGAGACTTAACAGAGAAGGACAAAATTTGCAGGGGTGAGGTGAATCAAAGAGCCAGGTCCCTGCTCCTTTTCCCTGCCTCTTTTCTCTCTCTTCGATTATTGTTTTTCGTGTGTGTGTGTGTGTGTGTCTGTGTGTGTCTGTGTGTGTTTAGATTTTCTAGGGGGAAAGAAACTTAGGACCCAATCCATCCGACAATCTTGGGCAAGATCTAAACCATCCAGGTTCCCTGATATCTGTGACAGAGGGCAGAATTATTACATCAGTGTCACCCTCTCCAGATGTAGAGTACAGGAAGGATTTTAATATGAGAGAGAAACCAGAACAGATAGACACATTCTCTTTGGCTTCCATTGTTAGTCTCCTTTTTTTAATTTGTAAAGCCTTCCATTGGCTTCTGCAGAAGCTGGGGCCGGACTATTGGCTTCAGTGAGAGCTGTAGGCAAGCTAGGAATGTAGGGTCATAGAATTTTAGGAGCTCAAGATAGAAATGCCTTTTGGATGATCTAGCCTGTATGGTGGTCTAGTGCTTCATGCAGTCTAGCTGGTATAACATTAAGTGCATTCCCTTCCCTGGACCTCATACTAACTACACCCTTTGGGAAGGGTTCGGAAGTGCAGCACACATAAATGTTGTCCTTATACCATCTGACGTATATGAAACGTCTCGTTCCAATAAAAATATTACAAGCAGGGGGAGGGAAGGCTTGCAATTTCCGTTATAATTAGGACCTTACTGGAGAGCTCTGTTTTCTGTGTGTTCCGCTCAGTACATGTGTTAATTACAGAGTCCCACCTGGAGGCATTGCAACATGCACTGAAAAAGGGTTTTTCTGTTGGACAAAATTCCCCCCCCCCTCCCCCCCCCCCCCCGGGTTTTCTAATCTACAGTGTTGTCAAAGGCTTCAGAAACCTTGGGGACATGGGAGTTGGCTTGAGTGGGGAGCAATGCATGGTGGGTAAAATTCAGTCAAATGGGGGATCCTACTGAGAGCTGTGTGAAATATTTGCATTAAGCCCCTCCAGTCCGAAACTCTTCAGACTCCAGAATGGGTGCAATTGTTGATGAGATCAAACTGTAATTTCTTCTTGAGCTATTTCACAGAGGGCAGAACACTTGTGTCAATTTCACCTTCTGCAGATGTAGATTACAAGGATTTTAATGTGATAAAGTAGTAAAAACCGGCACAAATACATTTCCCCCTTTACCTCCATCGTTGTTTTCCCTTTTTAAAAAATCTAATCCTATGCCCTCTTGAAACAGCAAAATACAGAGTTCTGAGTATCGGGAAAGAGAACTATCTGGATATCAAGTCAGGTGATTTAATTGGCCCTTTCCATCTTTCGTCCCTGTGATTGCTCTGAGAGAAGAAAGGAGCAGTGAATAGAAACATGCTTCTGGATTCTGCTACTGACCCCCTCTTTACTGGTCTCTGCTGTGACTCAGCAGAAGTCTGAACAGGTGGCAAGTCCTCCAGATGGATCGTTGAACCACAGCGATTTATGCACATCTGAGCCAAAGGTGTTCCCGCCTCTACTTTCTGGCTAGCACTTAAATTTAGTAGAAGGGTGGGGGTAGGAGCTTTCCAAGAAAGAGTTCCTACCGCTGCTGGTAAACTGGTTACCCGCCTCTGCATTCCTTAGTCAGCCCTTTCCTTTGAGGCTCAGGTTAAAAGGAATAGCTATGGAGATGGGTAAGCTTATTCTTTAATGAGGCCCAAACAAGGATGGCCTTGTGGTTAAGGCATTGGACTGTGAGTCAGGAGATCTGTAGTTCCCAGCTTCCTGCCACAGACTCCCTGGGTGACCTTGGGCAAGTCCTTTAATTGCTCTTTCTCAATTCTCCAGCTGTAAGATGAGGATGATAATATTGCCTTTGTCTGGTCCTTAAAGATTCCACATTCTTCAGGGCAGGGACTTTTTCTTACTGGTTATATGTGGAGCTTAATGGGGCCCTGATTTGAGTTGGGTCCTACTGTAATAAAACCAGCAACGGGGAATAAGAAATCAACTGTGGCGGTCGATAGTGGTGACACAAGCATTGCCGTTCTCCCCCAGGTTTGCCCACTTGCTAGTACGTGCTCTCAGGACATCTTCAGTTTTTCCAAGGTGATGGTTACAAATGGAGCAGCCTGGCGCCCATTGCTGTGTGCTAGACGTATATTAAAAGACAGGGATGACTTTGGAGTGCTTGCCATTTCCGACATCTGCGCCTCTTAACATCCACCTCAAAGGATAAGGGCTGACTAAAGAGGTGGGGGAAGGTAACTTGTGGTTAGTAACAGTGGGTGGACTCCTTCAGCAAAGAGTGGCTGGAACACCTCTGGGTCAGATGTGCATAGCTGTCTGTGGACTATACTGAAATGATTCATCTGAAGAACGTGCCACCTGCCAGTTGTTTGGCTCCTGCTGTGTTGAGAGAGAGAGAGAGAGAGAGAGAGAGGAAGACTCCATAGCAAAGTTCAGAAGTGTTTGTCTTTTCGCTCTCTTCTCATAGACAATCACAGGAATTAGAGATCTGTCAGAGACATGGGCCTGGTCTACACTAGGACTTTAATTCGGATTTAGCTGCGTTAATCCGAATTAACCCTTCACCCGTCCACACTACAGAGCCAGTTAATTCGAATTAAAGGGCACTTAAAATCGATTTCTGTACTCCACCTCGACGAGCGGAGTAGCGCCTAAATCGATTTTGTTAATTCGAATTAAGGTTAGTGTGGCCGCACACCACCGAATTACTGTGTTTAAGTTAATGGGGTAGTGTGGCCGCACACCACCGAATTAATGTGGTTAAAAACCGAATTAAGGTGCTTAGTGTGGCCGCGCACAATCGAATTTATACAACCTGTTTCCCAAATTCGAATTATCTAAATTCGGATTAATCCTGTAGTGTAGACATACCCTAAGATGAGACCTAATATGTGGGGCAGATTATCCCACATCTGCTACTACAAGATTCTGACACCTGTTGGTGGTCACTATCAGACAGAGGCTACTGAACTGCATAGATCTCAGGTCTGATCCAGTAGGCCAAGTCCTAGGAGATGGAAAAGACCTACTGGATTATCTGATGCCATCCACCAAGAGCAGGGGAAAACCTCTATCCCTGACCAGCTATTGAACCCAGGTCCTGGATATGAGAGTAACCACTAGGGAGCATTGTGTGTTCGTGCTTTTCCGCTGTCTCTTGCTGAAGAATGATGTTGCATTACTTGGTGCAAGATGCAGCTCTGTGCAGTCATTTGTCATGCTAGGAACCACACTGTTTCAAGTGCCATTGGATCAACTATTGATTACCTGTGGGTATTTTAGTATTCTCTGCAGGTCAAGTAGAGGAGAAATTTGAACATACGCCTATCCCCAGGCCTAGACAATATGGTGACTCCTGCTATAGAAATGCCTAGAGATAGTTCAAATGATGATAATTGAAGATCAGTCTCACAATCCTTGTTAATGTTGGTGCTCTTGGAATCTTGGGCTGCACACCTGTATTTGAGATTACTTGTTTGGCTGAGTTTTTATAAGGATCTGCATACTTTGTTTTCTTGCCCTGGCACATGTATATATGTCCTGTGATGGGGCAAGGCCAGATGGCTACAGTAAAGTAGTGAGGAACAGATATGTTAGCCCCAGGCTAAACAAATCCCTGGTACCATGGTAACCAAATGGCAGTTGCTCCAGGTTAATCAAGACACCTGGGGCCAATTAAGATCCTTCTAGAAGGCAGTGGAGACAGCTAGATTGATTGAGACACCTGAAGCCAATCAAGGGCTGGCTTGAACTAGTTAAAAGTCTCCCAGTTAGTCAGTGAGGTGTGGGTGCCAGAAGCTATAGGAGGGAGCTGTGCTGCTGGAGGAATGAAGCAGTACAAATCCATATCAGGTGCAAGGAAGGAGGCCCTGAGGTAACGGTGAAGGAGATATTGAGTGGGGGCTGCTGTGGGGAAGTGGTCCAGGGAATTGTACACGTCCTATTTCCAAAGTCAGCTTCCATAGCTGCTAATTTTAGGGTCCCTGGGCTGGAGCCCGGAGTAGAGGGTGGGCCCAGGCTTCCCTCTCCCCTCCCTGATTAATCACTGAGACTGGGAGACAACAGAGACTGTGCGAGGGAGGGCTGCTTCTCCTCACCTCCCTTGTTGGCTTATGATGAAAATGGCTCAGTAAGCTGTGACCCCTTGCCTCTAGAGAGAGAAGGGCTATGTGGAGGGTCACAGTGAGCCTCTGAGGCTAGCAAAATCTGCCAGGAAACGCAGGACCCACGGAGTCAAGGACAGTACTTTGTCACAGTCCCCACTTAAAATGTCAGGGCTTGATCAACTGCAGATTCCTGTCCGATAAAACCAGGACCAAAAAACTGGGTCATATTTTTAAAATTTCTCCAGCTGAAGTTTGTAAATTACAGAGCAATGGAAACTTGGCTTTTCTTTTATTACTGGCACATTTGAAAATCTTAGACTACTGGAAATAATTTCTTAACAGTAAAAACAAGCAGGAAGATGACCTTAGCAGAAATCAACTGAAGTCCTTTCGGGCTGGTGTGTTGAATGCTGGATTCCATGTTGATCATTTGCAATAATATAAACTTTTACTGATTTCAGCTTCCCTCTCCGTGGGGGGCTGTCAGGAAAATGACCATTCTGTATTTCTTTCTCTTAAAGGAATGGGTCCCATTCACCTAAATGAAATAGACTGTACCGGGTTTGAAAAATCCATCACGGACTGCAAGTTCAACACAGAGTCACTGACTTGTAACCATGAAGAAGATGCTGCTGTAAGGTGCAATGTTCCAGCCATGGGTTTCCAGAATCAGGTGAGAAGTCAAATTATGTGGATGTAACAAGAATACAATGTGTTTAGTATATCTCTCTCTCTCTCTCTCTTCCCCCCCCCCCCACTTATATGGCCATCTTCACTATCGTAGCCGAGTACCTATTATGATCTCAAAGTGTTTGTGGGAATAGTCACCCAAAGGAAGTGGTGGAAGCCCCATCAGTTGAGACATAAAACTAGGCCAGCTAAAAAACTATGAAATGCACAGTTGGGCATAATCCCTGTGTTAACAATGAGAGGGACATGGGGTAATGCTTTCAAAAGTGCCTAAGTCCCATTTTCAATAGTGACTTAGGGCCAGATTTTAAAGGGATTTAGGCACCTAACATTGCAGCTAGGTGCCTAGTGGGATTTTTCAAAAGCATTTCGGTGCCTAACTCCTATTGATTTCAATTGGAAGTAGGCACCTAGGTGCCCAGTGAGATTTTTCAAAAGCACTTATCTGCATCTTCAGGTATCTAAATACATTTGAAAATCTGGCCGTTAGGCACTTAGGCACCTACATCTCAGTGAAAGGCAATAGGTGCCTAGATCACTTTTTGACAATGGGATTTGGGAGCTGATGTCATTTAAATGCTTCTGAAACTTTTATCCCAGATGATTTAATAGGTCTGTTTGTGCCTCTAGTATATCATAGAATCCTAGAAATGTCAAGCTGGAAGGGACCTGGAGAGGTCATCAAGTCCAGCCCCTTGCGCTGAGGCAGGACCAAGTAAACCTAGAGCATCCCTGACAGGTGTTTGTCCAACCTGTTCTTAGAAACCTCCTGTGAGGGGATTCCACCACCTCCCTGGGCAGCCTGTTCCAGAGCTTAACTGTCCTTAGAGTTAGACATTTTTTCCTAATATCTGACCTAAATCTCCCTTGCTGAAGAGTAAGCCCATTGCTTCTTGTCTTACCTTCAGTGGACATGACAACAATTGATCGCCGTCCTCTTTGTAACAGCCCTTAACATATTGGAAGACTGTTAGCAGGTCCCCCCTTCAGTCTTCTTTTCTCAAGACTAAACATGCCCAGGTCTTTTAACCTTTCTTCACAGGTCAGGTTTTCTAAACCTTGTCTGGTTTTTGTTGGTCTCCTCTGGACTCAATATATAGAATTATAATTCACTGAAACAAAAGGAAGTACAGTGTACAAAGTAGCCTATCCAGCTTTGCAATAGATTTAAGTCAAGCAGAGCTAAAATCATTATTGCTTAAATATTAACCCCATCACCCTTGACTTCTGCTAGCACAACACACATAACCCTCAGTTAAGCTGTTGATGGGAAAGCAGTTTTTAAAGACTCTAACCTGGGGTACCTACTGTCATTTAGTCTAGTAGTTTGTGGAGGCGGGATAGATCTTTAATGCTCCAAATCAGCCTGCACAGGATATAATCCATCTTTTATGTCCCGCTATCTTTGTACAAGGCATATGTCCTAAAACAATGTTCTTCTAAAACTAGACTGGAGGCTAGGAGAGGAAATATAGAATAAGTTTTGCCGAGAAATGCTAATACATGGCATGGTTGTCTCAAGGGAAAACAAAGCGTTCTATGACTTTAATGAGCTGCCGTGTGTCAGAGATTATGCAGTTAAGATTGAAGCCATGTGATCGCTGGCCTCAAGATAATATTTGTATTTCACATTTCTGAAAGACAAAATACTGGAACTACTTGTTACTTTGGAGCTGCAATCAAATAGCTTTTGGAAGAGGAACCAAATGGTTTTCCTGGGGCTATGTTTTTCCAGTCCCGAAAAATATTCTGGGGAAATAACTGGTTTTGGCAACTGTGCCTTCTAAAGAAAATCCTGCCCCGGACATGCTGTGTCTCAAAGTAAGCCTTGTGTGTCTCATTCTGGCGTTGCACCTGCTCAGGAGGAACGTTCTGCTACTTTGTGTCTGTGTCAAATGAGCCAAAGGTGAAATGAACCTCTCAGCTGTCTTATTTATTATTATTTTGTGACCTATCTGCTCAGTGCTTAATAAATATTAATAATTCCAGCATGTCCTGCAGTTTGTGTAGGCCCCTGCTTAGCATGATGAGACATTATTTATTACTTCCATTATAGCCGTGCCTAAAGTCCCCAACCCAAACTTAGGCCCTGTTGTGCTAGGTGCTGTACAAACACATAGTGAGAGACAGGCCCTGCCAAGAGGCACTCACTATCCAATCTAATAACACAAGACAATAGTAATCTTAACATGAGTTTGAAAGGGATAGAAAGCCTCCTGTTTCAGGGCTTAAACTGACCTTAGAGAAAACTTTCCCTGGGGAGCCTGTTACCCTAAAACTGTCTACTGCCCAGTGTCTTGCACCTGCTTCAGTCGGTAGCAGCCACTGTCAGAGACAGGATACTGGACTAGATGGGTCTGATCCAAACAGGTAAAGCCTATGTCCCTAAGGGCTGGAGAAGGACGTATTATCATCCCCACTTTACAGCTGTAGAACTGAATTGACTTGCGCCAGGTCACATGTGGAGTCGGTGGCAGAACCAGGAATTGAACCTGATCTCCTGAGTCCCAGTCCAGTGCCTTAACCCTAAAACCACAGCGAGACTAGAAGGATCTGAACTCTTCCCTCGCCAGCTGCTGTAGCTTCATTGCAAACTGTCCCACGTGCCACCAGCTGGGATGGTCCTTTTATAAATCACTCACTTAGATGCGAGTGGAGAATGTGTTTTGCTGCCCACATCTGCGAGCCTGTCTGTTCAGACGTGGAACTAGGTCAGTTGGGAAATTCCTGGCAGATGCTTTCAGAGAGCTGATGAGATGATTCCTCTCTTTCCTTGATCATCTGCAGCTGCGTCTGAGCGGTGGCCGTAACCCCTACGAGGGCCGGGTCGAAGTCCTGATGCAGCGCAATGGCACTCTGAAGTGGGGGACTGTCTGCAGCCAGAACTGGAGCACCGTGGAAGCCATGGTGGTGTGTCGCCAGCTAGGCCTCGGCTTCGCCAGCCACGCCTTTCAGGTACGTCTCCTCTCTGTGGCGTGCGCTCTGGGCAGAGAGGAGCGAGGTGACCTTTTGCCCCAGCCCTGTGTTTATCCACAGAGCAGGTACCACACAGGCAGCATCCGGGCACGCTCCCCCCACACGCTGCCCTACCCACATACCTCAACCCTGGGCTAGCAGGAGCACCTGTGAGGTGTGTGGATAGGGCCCACTCTATCCTTGTCCTCCCTGCTGAGCCTGCCAGATGCAATGGTGGTGTAGGTGATGGGGGGAGGTGTTGGTGATGGGGGGAGGAGGGTTATCCACCAGGCTGTGTGGGGAGCCTCACTGTTCCACACACAACCCCCAAGCGTCAATCACAGGGTAATGGTTTTGCTCACAAGTGCAGAGATTCCCTGGAGCCATCCAGCCCCTTAGCTCCCAGCAGTTGGTCCCATGGGCCTGTCATGTACGCCCTTCAGCCAACGAGCCAGGACTGTACTTCCGACAGCACTAAGGCTTCCTGAGGGCGCCGAGGGAGTTTCTTTAAATCCCAAGGGGAACTCTTTGATCTAGATGGCCCCTTTACTCTGGGCTGACACCAGTTATGCTCTGCAAGTAGGTTCCTACCTCTGTCCGTCACCGTCCAAAACAAATGCACAAGCTCCTCGAATGCCCTCTGCAGGAATGCACTGCTCACAGCCTCCATCCCACGGTGAATCCAAAATGATCTGGTCTAGCCTTGGGTGCATCATGCACTACAAAGTATATCATGGCTGATAGGTGCAGGACAGGGCTGCCACCATAGTAGGCACCAGAGTAGCCATGATATCACTTGCCCTAGGGCAGAAATGGCAGGGCTGCCAAGGAAAATAAACCGTCTGGAAACTTGCATCTCAAGGCTGCAGCTCCTAACCCCTTTTCTGCTGGTTTCTGTTGTCAACTTCCATCCTAAGGGACCCCCACAGCACTTTGACTGACAGAGACTATCTATAGGATCAGTTTCTCTGCCCTGCACTTCCAGGCTAGAATGTGGCAGCAGCTTAGCAGGCCGCAGGAATGCTGCAGAACCGCTTAGGACAGGGAGCAGAGAGTTACCCTGTCCAACCGAAATGGCAGTAGGAGCCTAGGGAGGCAGAATGCAACCTCTATAAAGGAAGCTGGACAGGCCATACAGCTAGTGAACGGGGCAGAAACGGAGGCCTGTCCCAAGAGAGACCCTTGTCCAGAGCTGAGGCAAACATGTCAAGCTTTTCAGGGAAGGGGACCGTCTCGCTGTGTGTGCGCCGTGCCTAGCACAATGGGGCCCTGATCTTGCTTCACCATAATAAACACAATACAAAATAATACCAGCTGCCTTCCTGGGCTTGTTTAATGTGAGTAAAGAGTGAGGCCTTAAAATGACTAATAGCTCCTGCATCCTGCCGGGGATTGGGTAGCTCGCTCTGAAGATAGGCGAGACGATAGGCAAAACCTGAATGCCGCTCTGAGGTAGGTGAGTTATTGTCTCTGTGTAATAAACGACTCCATCAGGGATCTCCATGGAGAATGTTAAATGTTAGGCCCAGTGAACATGGCAGACTCTAGACAACGTCACATTGTAGAGCAACCAACAGGGCCGGAGATGGAGTGTATAGGTCCTTGGAAGACCATTGAGATTAAATAGCTGTCATCTAAGCGGGAGGCCCAGACCACCCACCTTCTGGCATAGAGGGGCCCAGGGCCCCTGGCAATCCAAACGTAATTCCTATACAAAGCTTTTGAGGGAGCCGGCCAAAGCTGCACAATGCTCCTATGTTAATGTAGCCAGAGACCCTGCAAAGAAGCTTTTCCCCCAGCCTCTCCTTACCTGGCAGCAGTTCTACTGGACCGGGAGGCCTTACTGCACTCCCTTAGGATCCAGTTCCTCCTTCAGGGGCTTGCCCATGCAGCCACTTCTTCCCCGGTGTCTTCAGGAATCCACTTGATAGGCCGACTACCCTCTCCAGCCACCTGGCCTGCCCCTCTGTGCTTTGAGGGGAAGGCTGAGTTGCTGTTCCCCTCCTTTGGTATGTTGAGGCTGCCATGGTTGTTCCACCAGCCCACCTTTGGGATGAGTAGCCTGGCGGAGATGCCACTAACCTCATGGCCTTCGGGCTCTTCTGGTTCTCGTCATGCCCTAAACTGGCGGCCTGTAGCCTGAGCCATGATGCCTCCAGGCAATGATTTCCCGCCACTGTAGGCCTTCAGGTTGATGGGGATCCTCCCTCCCCCATGTCCTAGCACTGGTCAGAAGGGCCTAATTCTTCAGGGATTGGGGTGGGAGGTGGGGGTATTGGTGTCATTTCTCTCACGCCGGGCTTTGAATTCACAGCTAGTTTAGCAACCCACCCTCACAAGCCGCTGCTTTGCTTCTTTTAGTTTATTTTCTTGTGCAGCTGCCAAGCTAGCGTACAAGAGCCCAGGGCAGCTGCATCCATCTAACACCGTCCTTCCCAGTCGCCCGGCTCTATAGGCCGGCGTGAAACAAGATATTTTCCTTTAGCAGGGGCCGCGGGTATTTAGAATAGAAAAGACCCTTATGTGGGACCAGGGTGCATTATACCCATGAACATAAAGCAACACTGTGGGGAACAGGGGCTAGCTGTGTGTGCACAGGGCATTGCTAACAGGGTTAATGAGACAGTGTGTTGCAACAGCAGCAATGGTACAGACCGTTCCTTCTCTACCTGAAACGCATTCCCAGCTCTGACACTTTCACATAGATCAGCATAAAGTGATTTTTTTACTTCACCCCTTGCAGCTGCAACCAATGTCGGGTTCTTAGCCAGGAGGAACAAGTCTTGGGACTACTAGAGAGGGCAATGCACAGTGGGGAACAATCCTGCATTGGTCCACCAGGGAAACCATCTGGATGGGACCTAAGAGGGGTTTTGCATTGCTTTCTTCTGATTTATATAGTCACAATTAATTTGGGGTTCATGTGGATACAATTAATCCACTATACTCTGTGCCCTCTTCATCTGCAGATCTCCAAGCCCTCCCCAAACGGTATTATAGTAGCAAGATCAGGGCCCCACAGTGCTGTACATACCCACAGTAAGAGACAGTCCCCGGCCCTGAAGACCTTACAATTTTAATAGGAAAGACCGATAAAAGCAGGGAAGAGGGAATGTTATCTGCATTTTACAGGTGGGGCACTAAGACAGAGGGAGATTGTGACTTGCTCAAGGTCAAACAGGAAGTTGGTGGCAGAACCAGAAACTGAATCTAGATCCTTTGCGATCCAAATGAGGGCTATAGGTGTTAGTGGTTTAAGAGACAGGATGGTCTAAGTCTCATAACGGCCCTGTGAGGTTGTTAAATATAACAATATCGGTTTTAGATAAGCTGAGCACAGAAAGGCTAAGTGGCTTGCCCGTAGTTACACAGAGGCAGAGCTGGGAATAGGTGGAGGGATGAGATCTTCAGAGCCGGTCAGGGGATTTAATAACACATCTTCCATTAATTTTAAATCCTGTGAACTGCTTTGAAAATCTCAGCTCAGGAATCCTGGGTCCTAGACTCCAGCTCTAACCAGTAGAGATGTTCCTCTCCTTGTCTAGCTCTCAGCAGACACTACTTCACAATTTCTGGGTACAGCATGCCACCCTTTCAGACTATGCCACTGAACCATTTTCTACCCTTGGAGTTGAGGACTTGAGGATCTGGTCAGTTTGTTTCTGACAGGAAAACTTTTGCTTCTAAACATTCCCTCTTGTTTATTATCTTCTGGGTTTTCCAAATCCTGACCTCGCCAGGGTCTGAATCCAGCTGACCACATCTCTGCCTCACACCAGGCCAGTCTGGCCGTTAATTCTCTATCTCTGGTGTTAGTCATGCAACAGCATTCTGGTCTCATGCTGGAGCATCCTGCTGTCCCTCCCTGATACAGATGTTGCAAGGCAGACATGATTTATTCGCCGGGCACCCATCCTAACGTGGCAGTGTATCTGCCCATCCCAACAGACCGAGAGGATGAATTCATAAACTGGATGGGTCGGGCTGGGTGGAGACGTGGATGTAGAGTTGGACTACAGCAAAGTGGAATTTAAACATATCCAAAACCTAGGAGAGATGTGTTTTAACCACGTTTAACTGTGACCCGTGCTCAGCACAAAGAACTCCGAGTCTGGACTCCTGGGTTCTACTCCTGCTCTGGGAGGGAAATGTCGTCATCTGCCTTAGAGCGGGGGACTGGGAGTCAGAACCCCTGATTTCTATTCTCTGCAACTGTCATGTGGCCTTTGGCAAGTCATTTAACCTCCGTTAAATTGTGCCTCCGTTTCCCTACCTATACAGTGCAGATAATACCTCCCAGGCAGTTGTGAAGATTAACTAGTTAAAAGGCCATAGAGTGCTTTTTGCAGATGCAAAGTGCTTAGTATTATCATAAGACAGACATCTGATTGTCTCAGATACCCCAGTGGCTTCAGTACATCCACAAAAGGCAGGATGCACCATTTTCTAAAATATCTATTAGGAACAATTCCAGCTCATTTTATATAGACTACTACAACTTTGCTCTATTTAAATTGCATGGATTGAAGCCCAAGGGAGTTAGTTAAGGATGGTGTGGTACAACACCCATGTCACCAGGGCTGACTGCATACTTTGTGTACAAATATATACACTTGCTACAGAGTTCAGCTGACTTAGGACAGTAAAAAAATCCCAGCAGCAAGTCAAACAAGGAGATCGTGTACCCTTGTCAGGGCAACTCGCTGATAACCAGTTAATGAAGATCCCAATCTCTGACCAGCTTGAAAAGCCCTAGCAAGCCTCCTAATCTAGGAATCCACATGATAATACATTTACAGATAAAGCTGTGGCACCAGAATGTCTGTGAATATTGTTAGATCTATTTTGCTACTATTTCCTCCTTTTTAAAATGGGGGGGGGGGCTTTTTAAAACAGTTTTCCTCCTGCTAAATGGGCACAAATTCTCCTTTCACTCCCTGTATAGTAACTTATATTTTTGTTGCTTCCTGCCTCCCTGCACAGCAGTGGCTGGCCAGACACTCTGGGGAGCCTGGTACCCCTATGAAAAAGGAATTCCCATCCAGCTCATTAAACTGGAAGTGGCTCCAGGCTAATTTAATGTGCAGAAAGGCTGATGAATTGCAAAACTCAGCTTGTGCAATTGTAAGCCGAGCTCCAGGAGATCTCTACATGCCAGGTGGCCCATGGCTGAATTAGCACAGAAGCAAGGCCTTCCCATATGGTAGCCCAGAACACTAACCGCTTAGTTACAGAGTTTGCTCCCAAGGGTAGTGGTATCTCCTTAGCCCGGGTCTACACTCGTGGGGGGGAGGGGTCAACCTAAGATACGCAACTTTAGGGTTACCATATGTCCGGATTTCCCCGGACATGTCCGGCTTTTTGGTACTCAAATCCCCGTCCGGGGGGAATTGCCAAAAAGCCGAACATGTCCGGGGAAATAGGAAGGCAGCATAAGCCAGGGTCCGCCCGGCCCCAGCACGACCCGCAGGGTCCGCAGCGCAGCCCAGCCGCCCAGCTACATTGTAGCGAGCTCAGGCGGGGGAAGCGGGGGCGCAGCCGCAGAAGGCGGCAAAGGGGCCGCTGCTGCCCCTGGAGGCTGGGCGGACCGCGCGCCCCAGCCGAGCCCGCAGGACCACGGGGAGGCCAGGTTCAGCCAGCGGCTTGGGCTTCCCTCACGGGCGGGGACTCCCCGGCCACTGGGGGACCCTTCCTGCGGCCCCGTCACCCCGCGCGGCAGGAAGGAGGCTGCGGGGCGGGGCGGGGAGTGCGGCGTGTGCTGGGGCTGCAGGGACCCGCGCTGCCCCGTTCACTGCTGAGCGTCTGAAGCCCCTGCCAGGCAGAGGCTGCCAGGTGAGCGGGGGAGCAGGGCAGGCGGGGGGGTGCAGAGGCTGCAGGGCGAGGAGGAGCAGGGCAGGCAGGGGCATAGAGGCTGCAGGGGCAGGGGGGCGCAGGGGTAGGGCAGATGGGGGGCGCAGAGGCTGCAGGGGCGGGGGGTGCCGGGGCTGCAGGGCAAGTGGGGAGCAGGGGGCAAGAGGCTGCAGGGGCGGGGGGGTGCAGGGGCTGCAGGGCGAGGAGGAGCAGGGCAGGCAGGGGTAGGGGGCGCAGGGGCAGGGCAGGCGCAGGGGTGCAGAGGCTGCAGGGCGAGGAGGAGC